TGATGTTTCTCTCTTTCTGTCTCTCCCGTCCCTTCCGCTCTCTTTGAAAATCAGTGGGAAAAATCCATGGATGAGGATTAACAAAAAACAACAAACAAACAAACAAACAAACAAACAGGAGAGAGAGAGAGAGAGAGAAAGAGAGAGAGAGAGAGAGAGAGAGAGAGAGAGAGAGAGAGAGAGAGAGAGAGAGAGAGAGAGAGAAACTTAAACTAAAAGGAAGGCCCGCATATATTTAAGCCTTCCATGATCTGCACCTGACCTTTATAACCCCAGGCATGTATATTCAGACTTTTGCATTTAAATAATTCATTTTCTCCCTTAAAGTCTCATCTGTATTTGTGAGTGGGAGTAAGAGAAACAAATAAGGTCTTTGTCTGAACCGTGTATCCTAGAGGTGAAATTCCACTTAAGAATGTCTTAAAAAAACAAAACACCAACAACCCTGGTCTTTTAAACTATACTCTTAAGTAACCTCACAAATAGGTATTCACCAAAAACCCTTAATTTGGGGTGATTTACCATTGTTTAATTCTGCTAGCCAAATTATACTTGCCCTGAAGAGCTGCATAATTTATTCAAATGACCTGAGGCTTTTTAAAGTCAATCTTCCAGCAGAAAAATTATCCCCTGCCCCCAGGAGAGTGAATTTTTTTGTGTTGTACTGTTTCCCATGACTGACATTTATTTGACTCTCAAGTGTATTTACATTGTTGGATTAATTTAGAGTTCTTTGCTGAATCAATAACATGCTGAATTTCTTGATTCAAGTGGTGTCAATATTATTGTTATTTTCCCCTTTTTTACTTTTTTTCTTTAATTCCCTGCAGTTAGAAAATTTTTCTTTGACTTGTGAAGTTTTTTACTCCTAAAATTATAAAGAAACAGAGTAAATGCCCCTTTTAATCTTCTGGGAAATGTGTGCCTCTTTAAACTTCATTTACGTCACAACTTACTGTAATGAAGGACAAAAGCCCTAGACAAGGTCCCCTGCTCCTCAGGGGTGTTCAAGGCTAGGACTCCCAGAGGCGAGCCTGCAGTTTTTTTCTCACAAGTTTATAGCTCACCTCCTGACTGTTTCTTTGCAAGGGGCATGAGAGGGGGCTAGAAATAGAGCAGGGTGGGAATCTGACCCATGCTGACCACTCAGGAGGTTCTGGCCTGGAAAATTCCCTTGTATGTGGCAAAAACAAACATTTGAAAAGGAGGGAGAGAACAGGCTTAAACAAAGAGTGAAAGCATTTCCCATTTCAACTTCTCTGCCCGTAATCATATGTGTCTGTTCATTTGTTTCCCAAGTCTGTTTCTCACCAATTGGACAGAGCCTCCACTTGAACCTGTCCAGAGCATACGAAAAAAAAAATAGTTTGAGATTTAATAAAATGATGTACATGCATATTAGGAGCATTTTTTCAATATTCAAATTCAGTCTACAAAACAAAACAAGACAAACAAACAAACAAACAAACACCCAAAACACACCACACGGAAATGCTGTGCTGCTAACCTTTGAATCTACTATATTTTCCAGGCAGTGGTGACCACACCTTACTGGTGCCATCTGCCTGTGTACAGGAGAATTGACTTCAATGGTAAAGGAGAAACAGAAATGTCAAAAGCATTTGTTTTGTCTCATGTCATTTGTAATTTTGTTTTCTGTCACCTGCCCTCTCTCCTGCATTGCTCCCCTTCTGCTTAAGTCCCCAGATAATTCCTCAGAGCCTCCTGGCAAGCAAACACAGGCTCACTGTGACTGCTACCAGACAGATCTGATCCATACAAATAACTGGAATCCTTATACCCATTTAAGTGTCATGGCTTCTCTGGTTTTCTGTACTCACTGTAATAAACTAGCCCGTCATTTCGTCTCTCTATGGTCTTCATTTTGTGAATAAAGTAAAAAAAATGTCTCCCTTTCCTAGCCGGTTTGGCTCAGTGGATAGAGTGTTGTCCTGTGGACTCAATGATTCTGGGTTCAATTTTGGTCAAGGGCACATGCCTGGGTTGCAGGCTTGATCCCCAGTAGGGGGCATGCAGGAGGCAGCTGATCAATGATTCTCTCTCATTGATGTTTCTCTCTCCTTTCCTCTCTGAAATCAATAAAAATATATTTAAAAAAGAAAAATATCTCCCACAGAACAATCTTCAAATTCTTTCTCCATGCTTTAGTGCTTTTAACTATCTGTAAATGTTGCAGGTTTTCTTTTTTCCAGGATAGTACGGTAGGTGATTTTAAAGGACCAGCTAGTACCCTCTCCTGTAGTATGGAGGTTAAGAACATGGCCTCTGGCATTAGATGGTCTCGGTTTAAATTCAAATGTCCTCATTTAATAGTTATGTGACTACATAAAAGTTAAACTCTATGTCTTAGTTTCCTGATTTGTAAAATAGAGTTAATATTAATAGCTTATAATGGCACCTACCATGTGGTAGGCACGGGTTTAAGCATTTTAAATACATTAGCAAATTTAATTTTCTAATTCCATGATATAGGTAATTAACATCATCCCCATTTCCCATATGAGAAAGCTGAGACACAAAAGAAGGAAAGTAACTTGGCCAAAGTCACAGAAGTAGTAAGTGGTATAGCTGAGCTTGTGAAGCCAGGCAGTTGGATCCGAGGTCATTTACACACCTGCATGCTATATTGCCTCTCTATTAATACCAAGTATAAAGCATCATCTAGCACAGCGTATGGCACATAGAGTTTATTGCCAACTAGCATTATCACTACCATGACCTTTTCTTTCTTTCTTACTTTTGTTACTATTACTTTTATTGGGCTGATCATGGAAGGTTGAGCACTGCAGCCCCCACAAGAAGAGAAAACAATTTGATTTAGGCTGCAGTTGCTGCCTTACTCCTTCTTCACCTTGTGTGCTTTGTATTTAAACCGCAAATATGACAAAGACCTATGAAAGGGAACACCAAATGTTAATACCTCTTTTCCAAAACATGAAAACTATATCCCTCCTATCACCACTGTTCCAGCAACAAACCAACAGAAATTGCTTAAAGCAAGGGAGAAATTTTAGAAATTCTAGACTTCAACTCACATTGCTACTGCTCTTTAATAAACAGGGGTAAAGATTTTTAAAAAGTAATGAAGGTTACAAAGCACATAGGGGGACAATGACACTGCCACTAGAATAAGTTCCCTAGTCTCCACTCCTTAATGCATTTTAGAATGCCAGGTTCAGGGAAGAAGAGAAAATTCATTATATTCTTCTTTTCAAGTAAGTTACTGAATTCAAAATTCTCTAACACATTTGTGGAAACTTCATTTTTTTTGTTTGAGATTTATTTGAATGAGCTGTTATGATTGGAGACAGTGAGAATTTCAGATTAATGTTTTGCAGCCAAAAAAAAAAAAAAGCCCTGGAAAGCTGGCAAGTGTTCATAAGTCAGCCCTAGAATTATGTAGGTTGAAGGCTCCCAGTGGACAGACCGAACATATAAGAAGGAAACCAGAGATCTGGTGCTATTACGTCCCTGAGTCTAAGAGAACGAGTAAGCACAGAATTAAAAGCATTCCTCAGCCTGAAGTTTTAAGGTAAGTTTGCACAATTTATATATATACAGCATTTAAAAAGTAGAACATACATTAAATGAAAATGTTTTTTTTTTTAATGGATGAACTTTAATTTTTCTCTGTATTTTAACACTGTATTTGCAAAACTCCTAAATTATTTAACTGCTGTTTCTCTTACAGGAGTGCACTGAGGAACTAGGCAATCTGGTTTATGATACATCAGTTTAAAACTTCAACAACCAGTAAGTCTTTAAGTGGGTTTTAAAATATTCTTTTATATTAATTTATTAAGTCAAGATTATGAGAGAATGATTTGTATGTAAAAATGAAAACTTTGCTGTTTATTATGAGATTCTTTGGTGATTACATTTTTCATAGAGTGCCTTATTTTTATGTATTTTCAAGCTATGTAAAGTAATAGTATTTCCTTTACTTTATTTACCTTCAGTTAATTTTCTTTCATTTTAGAATAATGTTGCTTCTAAAAAAGGCACAATAGTATCACAAAAACTGAAACATTGATTATAACATTTGAGAGCCATATAGCAATGTTACTACTTCGTTGTGTTAAACTTGAAAAGATACCAAAAGAAAAATGATATAATTATATATGATTAATCTTTGATGTTCAACTCTTGCTTCATTCTTGACCCCAAACTGGATTTGACTATTTAAAAAAGTAGATTAAATTTAAATAGATCTAAAACTCATAGTCTCTATTAAAATGTAAATAGGAGACTTTTAGAAATATGCATGTGTTCTATAACTTCCTTTTACATATATTATTATTGTGAAAACAATGGAAAAGTAGAACTAAATAAATAATTTTTTAATTAGTAAAAACCAACCATAATCCCCCATCCCAATATATTCTTTTTGCATATTCTCTTTCAATCTTTTGTGCACTTACTTATTTTTTCCATAGTTTATGTTTCTTATATTTTCCATAGCTCTGATGATTTGTATATAATTAGTTACTTGAATAAGGCATTTTTCTATGAAATAGCAGACAGCAGTATGTTTTCTAGAAAGTATAGATAGACTGAGATATGTGCTCAAGTGTTTTTGAAATATTAACTTTTCTTATTCTTGATTTCATCTTGTTTGTTTCATGCATTTCCTATCCTGGCTAACCTTTTGGAATATTAATTTTCATTAAACCTCTTGAAAATATGAAAGAATGGGAAAAATGTAGTTTTGCTCAGAATTTTCAGTCCCTGATGCTGCAATGTCTTAACTTGTTGATACTAGTGAAAAAAATTCTTTTTTTTCAAGAAGTAAAATCTAATCTTATTTTATGTTATGGTTCTGTTTCCTATAATCACTCATATTCCTCCTTTTTTTTTTTGCTTTTAACAAACTTTCAAAATGCTAATGACTGGATATTCTAAATTCTGTAGATGTTCTGAGAGTTCTTTTTCTATTTTCATAGAAGGTAGTAAGAATTAAGAGCTGCTGACATTTCAACATGAAAGGCAACTTCACCCCTGCCACCATCAACAAAAACGTCACCAGCAGTCTGGACTTCGGACTTGGGAACATCTCTGGCAATGACTCTATCTTTAACTGCTCACATAAGCCATCAGATAAGCATTTAGATGCAATTCCTGTTCTCTACTACATTATTTTTGTGATTGGATTTCTTGTCAATACTATTGTGGTTACACTGTTCTGTTGTCAAAAGGGCCCTAAAAAAGTTTCCAGTATTTACATCTTTAACCTGGCTGTGGCTGACCTACTGCTTTTGGCCACTCTTCCTCTCTGGGCATCCTATTATTCTTACAGATATGACTGGCTCTTTGGACCTGTGATGTGCAAAGTGTTTGGTTCTTTTCTGACCCTGAACATGTTTGCAAGCATTTTTTTTATCACCTGCATGAGTGTTGATAGGTACCAATCTGTCATCTATCCCTTTCTGTCTCAAAGAAGAAATCCCTGGCAAGCTTCTTATATAGTTCCCCTTGTTTGGTGTATGGCCTGTCTGTCCTCATTGCCAACATTTTATTTTCGCGATGTCAGAACCATTGAGTATTTAGGAGTGAATGCTTGTGTTATGGCTTTCCCAACTGAGAAATATGCCCAATGGTCTGCTGGGATTGCCTTAATGAAAAATATCCTTGGTTTTATTATCCCTTTAATATTCATAGCAACATGCTATTTTGGAATCAGAAAACACTTACTGAAGACCAATAGCTATGGGAAGAACAGAATAACGCGTGACCAAGTTCTGAAGATGGCAGCTGCTGTTGTCCTGGCGTTCATTATTTGCTGGCTTCCCTTCCATGTTCTGACCTTCCTGGATGCTCTGGCCTGGATGGGCGTCATTAGTAGCTGTGAAGTTATAGCTGTCATTGACCTGGCACTTCCTTTTGCCATCCTCCTGGGATTCACCAACAGCTGCGTTAATCCCTTTTTGTATTGTTTTGTTGGAAACCGGTTCCAACAGAAGCTCCGAAGTGTGTTTAGGGTTCCAATTACTTGGCTACAAGGCAAGAGAGAAAGTGTGTCATGCCGAAAGAGCAGTTCCCTTAGAGAAATGGAGACCTTTGTGTCTTAAATATGAGAATGGATTACAGGTCATGGCTATTTGGTTTGAGGTCTCCTTGAATTATCTTTTAATGGCTTTGGTAAAATTAGTTTTGTCCCTTAATGTAATCTTCTCTCATTGTTCTAGAATATGAAACTATATGTTTTATCCTCCAGTGATGGCCAGAAATTGACCTCTTCCCCCTTTTATCTGGTCTATCAATTCAAGACTGCCATTGGGCAGATATCCATAACCTAGAAGTAACTGGGAATTTGTTTCCAATTATAATTAATAACAAATTGTGAATGAGTATTTGGGGGTTCATATTTCTTTTTGAAAAATGCTGAAGTTTAAAAATTACATATATATATTTTTATTGATTTCAGAAAGGAAGGAAGAGGGAGAGATAGATAGAAGCATCAATGATGAGAGAGAATCATTGATCAGCTGCCTCTTGCCCTCCCCCTACTAGGGATCAGGCTCACAACCTGGGCATATTCGATTCCTTGACTAGGATCAAAGCCAGGATCCTTCTGTCTGTAGGATGGTGCTCTATCCACTGAACCAAACAGGCTAGGGCTGCTGAAGTTTTGTTAAATTGGTTTTTATATCTGTTTTCACCAGGCTTTCCTTTTCAACCAAGGTTAATCTTTTAACTCATTACATTACTTACAAGAAGATTTCATGCCAAGAGAGAGACACTATACTTCCTAATGCAACAGACTGGTACCAAATTATTCGGTTCCAGGCATATATACTTTCTACTTTAAAAAATAGTAAGAATAATAATCCTTTTACATTTCATTTGAGCATAGATTTTTATTTCATATAGCTACATATTTAGTAGGGATAGGAATATAGATTAGATCACATGTACTCCTACATTTTAGCTTATTTTTACAATTATGAAAAGTAAGATATATAGTAACAGAGACTTTCAAGTATTCATTGAACTCTGAATAAACACTTTTTAAAATTTTATATCCATTTTAACTATTGTTTGAAGGTTTCAATATTTTCTGATAATTTCTTCAAAACAAAGACTAAACACTGTGTAGTGTTTTAAAATGTAAAAGGTCACTTTTTATATCTTTGACCTTTTAGATGTGGTGCTTTGATATATAGGAAGTTGACTTGACTTTTATTATTGATGTTTTGGTTCTGGGTTGCTTCTTACAATATCTGGGTGGCTTCTTTAAATCTTTAACTTGTAATGAATAAAGCCTTACCTGGCACAGGAAAAGGTAATGTCAGAATAGAAATTTGAGACCCAGGGAGGACCAAGAGATCCAGCAAAGGACAACTTTGTTGTCATGCAAAACCCTACCTGTATGGGAAGTGCAATGTGGCTTTAAAAACAGGGTAGTTTTAACCTGAACCTATGAATACTGTTTGTTCCAGTACTTATGGGATTCTATGGAACTCTTTTAAACCAATTGCTGATTCATAGATGTCCTTCTTAACAATAGTAAAACTTCTAAATTAGAGAAGTACCTGAAGCTGACTGAGTTATCTAGAGTTTACTTAGAATATGAATCCTATTTTTGGAAGTTAGAGATTTCATTCTTCACCAGCCCGTATGTGTACATACTATGTCATGTTATCTAAGACCTTCCTAGACCAGCAGTCGGCACTCATTAGTCAACAGAGCCAAATAACAGTACAATGATTGAAATTTCTTTTGAGAGCCGAAAATCAACTTCTGCTCATGCGCTACGAAGTTTCAATCGCACTGTATGTGCATGCCCGCATGTGGTATTTTGTGGAAGAGCCACACTCAAGGGGCCAAAGAGCCGCAGTTTGCTGACCACTGTCCTAGACCAATGCGGACCTCTGAGGTTGAAATAAAGTTTCAGAGGCTTAGTGTCTCTGTCAGGTTCCAGGGCTACAGATAAAAAAATCCTCTCATTCCACTTTCTGGGAAACTCTTAATTTCATATAATCTCTTATTATCAATAAAAAATAGCTAAATGTATAACTATGACTTTGCATTTTAAATAATTTTGTAAAACTTTGAATATAAATAAAATCCTTAATTGGAAGATCATGTGTGTTTACTTTTTTATTTTATGACCTCCAGGTATAGATTCTTATCTTCTCTTGTATCTGTATCCTCCTTATATTTCCACTGATACTTCTTTGTTTCAGCCCCTATCTCTGGCTTTTTGCCCTTCTCTTCTAGTTTCCCTCTCTTGAGTTTTCAGGGAGAGGGAGAGAGAGAGATAGAATCATCAACGATGAGAAAGAATCATTGATTGGCTGCCCCTGGGAATTGAGCTCACAACCTGGGCTGGTGCCCTGACTGGGAATCAAACCCTGACCTCCTCGTTCATAAGTCCATGCTCAACCATTGAGCAACACTGCTGGGTTTGAAAATCTTTGGGAAAATGACTTTTTTTAAATTACAAATAATTAGTATGTATTTCTTATTAAAAATCAATACTCTCTCGTTGAAAATTTTTAACTATACAGATAAAAATTAACCATTGAGACAATCTTTGTTAGCAGTATGGGGTAAGATTATTATATGAATATAAATATAGACACAGATTATTCTATATAATAAAAGGCTAATATGCAAGTAGACTGAATGATGGAATGCCCCATAACTATGATGCGCTCTGAGCACCAGGTGGCAGATGCTCAATGCAGGAGCTGACTCCTGGTGGTCAGTGCGCTCCCACAGGGGGAGCACCACTCAGGCAGAAGCTGGGCTCACAGTTGGTGAGCACAGCAGTGGTGTCAGGAGCCTCCCCCACCTCTGTGACAGTACTAAGGATATCTGACTGATGGCTTAGGCCCGTTCCCACAGGAAGCAGGCCTAAGCCATTAGTTGGACATCCCGAACGGGCTCCTGGACTGTGAGAGGGCGCATGCCTGGCTGAGGGACTGCCTCTGAGTGCACAGATTTCATGCACCAGGCCTCTCTTTATCCATATTCATATTTCTTTCTCTTTTTATCTATTATCTATAAGATACATTTTTCATTACCCTGTGGTATATTTCATTTTTAGGTTAAATTTTAAAACACTTTTATGAGGTATAATTGACATATAACATTCTATTAGTTTCATGTATACATTGTAATGATTTGATATTTGTATACCTTGTGAAATGTCACCACAATAAGTCTATTTATACACACAATGTTACGAAGAGTTTATTTTGTGATGAAAACTTGTAAGAGTTATTGTCATGGCACTTTCAAATGTGCACTACAATATTATTGACTGTAGTCACCCTGACTATACATCAATTACATCAATATAGAACATTACATCTCAATGACATTTTATAACGTATTTTGTACCTTTTGACCCCTTAACCCATTTTGCGCACTCCCAAACCAACCTCCCTGTCCTATAACCACCATTCTGTTCTCTGTATGTATGAGTTCTGTTTTGTTCTTTTGATTCCATATATAAGTGAGATCAGACAGTATTTGTCTTTCTCTGTCAGACTTATTTTACTTAGCATAATACCCTCAAGGTCTAATCCATGTTGTCACAAACATTTCTTTTGATATTAAAAATTTTTTATCTATAAACTTCCATCTGGTTTAGTAGGAAAATTTCTGTCTTCCCTTGTTAAGCCCTCCTTTCCTATGGTAAGTCCCAAATCCTCATGGCTTTAAGCAATCCAAGAGATTTCACTTGGTTGTTGCTGTCCAGTGGTAGAAAGATTGGAAAATCTGATAAGACCACTGACCTATTTTCTGCAGCTGTTGATGTTACATTATAAGTTAGTCTAAATTAGAACATATGGTTCACTTATCTGTGCAGATTTCTGTCCACTTTAAGGAGTTTTTAAATGCGCAAGCTACCTGATAAGGGTGTAAGAGGAAAAAAAAAAAAAAGAAGAAACCCTCTTTTTCCAGTGTTACACTCATTTATATCTAATGAACAAGTCCTCTCCTTTCTTAAATGAAGCTGTCCTATAAGCTAGAGTCACATTTCAAATTCCTTTTCAATAAAAATGAGTATCCCTGGTTGGGAAAGTGGGTGGTTAGTAGGGCTGATGTTGCTTCTTGATTAGTAAGTCTTATCTCAATGCATAAGATATACTGTAATAACTGAACTTCTTAAAAAAAGAATCTAATTCATGATTCCCTTCCTTTCAGAAGGCCCCTTTACCAATTTCCTCCTCCCCCCAAACCACAACCTCAAAAAATGTATGTATGGGACATACATATTGGCATAGCTCCATTTGCCTGAAAAGTTGGAACCACCATACCATTGTCAAACTGCCAAATTTCCTGTTATAGTTTTCTCTCTGAATAATGGATTTCTACATAATCTACATTTGTTATCACTGAAATGATAATTTCTTAATAAAATATATATCTCAATGTTTTTTCCTGTTTTAGAAACTTGAAATATTTGTGGATAGCAGTTAGAAATGGTCTTACTGGGAAACCGGTTTGGCTCAGTGGATAGAGAGCGTCGGCCAGAAGACTGAAAGGTCCCAGGTTTGATTCCACTCAAGGACATGTACCTTGGTTGCGGGCACATCCACAGTTGGGGGTGTGCAGGAGGCAGCTGATCGATGATTCTCTCTCGTCGATGTTTCTAACCCTCTATCCGTCTCTCTTCCTCTCTGTAAAAAATCAATAAAATATATTTCTAAAAAAAAAAAAAAAAGAAATGGTCTTACTGGGTATGCTAGTATCTGTTGTTATGAACTGAACTATATCTCCCCAAAATTTATATGCTGAAACCCTAACCTCAAATATTATTGTAGTTGGAGAAGAGCTTTTAGGAAGTAATTAAGGTTACATGAGGTTATAAGGATGGAGTTCTAATCTGATAGGACTAGTGGCCTTATGAGAAGATGAAAAGAACTCTCTCTCCACATGCATGCATTGAGGAAAAGTCATGTGAGCACACAGTGAAAAGAATGCCAGAAAGAGATCTTGCACCAGAATTCAAATATACTAGCATCCCAATCTTGTACTTCCAGCTTCCACAACTATAAGTAAATTAACCTGTGTTGTTTAAGATACCAAGTCTATTTTTTTTATGGCAGTCCCA